AGGCTCTCACTTAGTTGCCCAGGTTTGCCTTGAATTTGTGATCCTCCTGCTTTACCCTCTCAAGGTAGCTGGGATCACAGATGTGTACTAACGTGCTAGGCTTTAATTCTTATATAATGAAACTTCACAGTTAAAGTTACAATGTTCTAGGTGATTAATTGGATTCCTTGGATCTTAAGTATCATATTTTCAATCAATATTTTAAAAAACAGATCATAGCTAGGTGCAGTGGCATGTGCCTGTCATCCTAGCAGAGGCTGAGGCAAGAGGATCTCAATTTCGAGGTCAACCTGGGCAATTAAGCAAGACTCTGTCTCAAATGAAACAATAAAAAGGGTTAGGAATGTAGTTCAGTGTGGGAGTGCTTGACTACTATGCACATGGCCCTGGGTTCAATCCCAGCACAGCAGAAAACATGCACAAGTGCACAGCATGTGCCCCACCCCCCCGCAAACAAACTGAAAGAAGAAAAGACAAAAACCCAAACTAATATCTCTAGATGAAGATCACAGATTATACATGTATATACTGTGAACCAAATTTTCTTTTTCAGGATTAGCAAACTAGTCACTGGCTAGACTTCAATGCTTTCATAAATAAAATCTCAATAAAACATTGTTATTTGTTTTATACGGTCTATAGTTGCTCTCATCCTACCATGGCAGAGGTAAGCACATGAAATGAGATTGAGTGCTCTGCAAAGCTTAAAATATGTACTTTTAAAAATTGGGTTTTACAGATAAAGTTCATTCTTACTTAAAAATTCAAGTTTATTCTTTTAATGGTTTCTTTTAAGAATATTTTTACCTTCAAGAATTGTCCTCCCTCATTGAAAAAATTAAGAAAAACATCAAATTACCAATGTTTGAAAAAGGTGTGGCAAAAATATGTGAAATACATCTTGGTCTAATTTTATATAAATGCCATTCTGAAGGTTTTCCTCTTCTTCAAACCTTCAACTATCGCTCACTTTCTATGGACTAAAGAACCATATAATCTCCCTTGCAGACTGACACAAACTGATGTTTTGGTATTTAGGATGCTCAATATATGATATCAAACATAAACCCTAAAAACTCAAAATCACCTGTTCCCTCTTAACAGGGACTGACATATTTAAATTTGCTACAAGTACTTAAATAGGTTCCCCACTCAGATCAGACAAGTGTAGTCCAAAAAATATAACAACAGCTTTCTTTAATCTGTGTGCCACCTGATAGACTTTTGTTAATGTAAAAGCACAAGAATTAATGGAATTCCCTCACTTTATATTTATGCATATGTTTTTGCTTTCTAGGTACTGCATTTTCAAAAAACTGAGTTCATAGTAGTTTAGGGTATGGATGCTGGGGTCATGCTATTAGTTAATGTATAGATACCCACCGATTTGAAGCTCATGTTGTCTTCCTTGTATAAGTAATTATTTAGTACATGATAAAAGCATAATAAAATATTTCCCTTTCTGTGAAGCAATATCTTAAAAATATGGTAATAAAACTTGAAAGAAAATTATTAACTTCAATAAATTTTCTTCAATTTTTTTTATAGTTCTATATCCCAAACTATATTAAAAACAGGTTTTAGAACTATTTTCAAGTCTAAGATGTTCAGCTCAGTTTCAAAGAAATATTATAGATCTTTCTTCATATTGGCTTACATAATATTTAATTAAATGGCACATTTGCAATTACCTGTGAATCTAGGATGAACAATTTTGATAATAAATACAACTTGCTGTTGAAAATTATACAACCACACTAGTGAAAGAAGTATAAGTTGGGTGTTGATTAAGATAGCTAATCTTGAGGTTTAAAGTGAGTCTGACTATGATGAGGAAGGAACTGAATACAACTCACCAGGTTAAATGTTAGGGTGGAGATCCATTGAGTATAAAAGAATTGGAAAGATGATCAGTGAGGAAGTTATCATTGGGAATAAGAATCTCTGTATTAAAATTTCTAACTTGTAACATGTATCTTATGGCATTATTGTGAGGCTAAGACTGCTTTGTGTGTGATGTGAAAACTCTTTACAAATAAGGAATAAATAAGTTCTAACAATTTACTAAGATCTAATTGTTTATCTGATTTCCTTGACATAAATGTGAAATATTTAAACATGAAATCTTCATGTTTTATGATACTTCTATTATTTTGAATATTAGAGTTAGGTCTAATTATTTTATGGAAGGCTAAAGAAAGAGGGTGTCGTTATGGATGCAAATAGCATTATTTAAATTATCGTGTGTTATATAAATAACAACGATTATCTGGAAACATCAGATATGACTTTTTTCATCTTTATTTTATAACATAAATAGATGAGTCATGTCATTAAAAATTATGAAGAGAATTGGTACTTGAATTTGAATGAAATTTGAAAAATCCAACTATGTCAAGGGTAAATAAGTATCATTTAGTACTTAAAGTTCTAAGAAAGAAAAGGAAAACTTTTCAAATATCTAGTTTTGAAACGAAGAATAGATAATAAAATTCATTAGTAATATTGCAACTGTTCTAACAGTATATTTGAATTCTCTATTGTGATTTGATTAGAAAGAGACACAGCATCACAAAAAGGAAAAAAGAAAGAAAAGAAAGAGACATACAGGGTGAACTGAGAAGACATTGAAATTCATTAAGTCAAAAGAGAAACAAAGATAAATGACTAGACAGACAAAGACTGGAAGAAAAAAAATAAAATAATGACGGTGCAATTGTAGAAGGAAATATTTTCAAGGAACAAAACCCTATGTTGGGTTTTCTTAAAATGCTACATATAAATTTGTTTGAAGGGATATTATGGTCTGAATATAAAATGTCCCCTCAAACTTCTCAGATTAATGCAAGACTGTTTGGAAATGAAATGATTGGACTGGGATAAATGTAACTTAATCAGTCCATCCTCATTTGAATGAGCTGGGTGATAACTATAGGCAAGTGGGACATGGATGGAGGAAGTGAGTCATTGGGGGCAAACTGTTGAAGGGTTCATCTTCCTTTCAACCCCTTTCCCCTTCTCTTTGCTTCCTGGATGCCATAAACCAACTAGTGCTCTTCTACCATGTCCTTTTGCCATAATGTGCTGCCTCACTTTGGGGCAGGGCATTGGAGTTGGCTGACAATGAACTTAATCTCTAAAATTGTAGACCAAAATAAACTTTCCTCCTCTAAGTTGTTCTTGTCAGGTATTTTGGTCACAGGGATGCAAATCTAACACAAGCAGGATACATTTTGTTTTAAACAAAAATACAACCATAAGTTGTATCAATACATTGATACAAGACCATGGCCCCAAGAAATAGGAGTTTATGGATACACATTGATAAGATGAGATTATCAAAATAAGGCAAGGAAGAACAATGAAACAAGCTAAAAATAAAATTCCCAGAGGAAAAAAAAATCTGAGGTGATGCTATAAAGAAAGGATATTGATCTTTTTATTGGGGCGGGGGGTATCAGGGATTGAACTCAGGAGCACTGGACCACTGAATCACATCCCCAGCCCTATTTTGTATTTTATTTAGAAATAGGGTCTCACTGAGATGCTTAACACCTTGTTTTTGCTGAGGCTAGCTTTGAACTCATAAATCTTCTGCTTTAGGCCTCCAGAACCCCCGGCATAAGAGGCATGTGCCACTGCACCTGGCTGGATTTTGTTCTTAACATGTCCTTATGTAACTTACCCTGAGCAGTTGCTCTGACATAGAGAAGCTTTTCAGAATTCTTTACAAAATGGTTTCTTTTTCCATAGAACAGTTGTACCTATTTTGCATGTGGAAATAGTTTAAGAGTGGAGGCACACAGTTCTCGGAAGAGGACTGACAAAAACCCAGATGAGGCTCGGGTACAGGGCATTGTGAAAATTAGACACCCTGAGAGCTGCAGAAAAGCAGTAAGAGTGCGTCAAACACTGTGATGTTTGATATGGTCCTTTTCTTGGGGAGGTCTGAGAGTCCGCAACAGCTACGTTAAGAATGCAGCTCCAAATGTGCATCAGCATCAGAACTAGGCCTAAACCCAAGGCAGACCACAGAGCCAACATGAAGGAAATGAGAACAGCTTTCTCTGCCCTTAGGAAATGGGGCTTTTGCAATGGGCCAAGAGAGTTAGTATTGACTGGTTGGAGTGTGGGCCTGGACCTCTTGAGGCCCAGAAGACCTGGATAGAAGTGTTAGCCATGGAGACTGGACACTCATTCATAGAAAATGTTTAGAGGGCATTGGGTTTGATTCAGAAGAAAGTTCTTGTCCTTGCTCCCTTCCCCCAATTGTACTTGTAGTCACAGTTGAGGGAGCAGAAGTACCATTTCAAACTCCCTTTACTAGTGAAGAGGAAGCATTCCCTATTTCCTCTGAGTTAGAATTGTGTTCAGAATTCTATAGGACAGCTTGTAGATGAGCCCATGTTCATTCTGAACCTGCTGGGTGGGCTGGGATTTGTCAGAGACTGACATTTGGAGAACAAGCGAAAGAAAGATGGCTACATTTATAGACTGAAGGACCAGAATTAATTTTGAGGCTAGAGGGACCCACAAATGAAAATTGGAAACTACAAATGAGTAGATGTTTGCCATTGGTAAAGTATCTGGGTCACTTATAGCGTATTTTTCCACTTGTATTTTTGTCTGTGGGCTTTGATAGAATGGTTGCCTAACAAATGTTTCATCATCTGAGTACAATAATAGATTTCATTCCAGAATACAGTTGTTGCATAACAAAATTCAGTATGTTGGAGGTAAAAAGTCAGTCAACATGAATTTAAGCTTTGTATGTCCTTTGTTTGCAGGGAGTCAGGCATAAATGAGCATCTGTCATTTGACTCTTCTAGAGCCTTTCTAGCGTACGTGCCTAGGGCATGACACATCAGAGTCTGATGTTTTTTATCTTTTATTACCTGCTAGATCCCTCTGGAAAGAGCCTCTGTGGAATTCATCATCTGCAGGCTTTGTTAGAGGTATACATATAAATACATGTTGAAAACATTTGTTGCAGATATTGTGGTTTCCAAAGCTGGCTTAAATAAAAAAGTGTTGAGATGAATGATGAAGGGGACCTTCTGCAGGAGGTATGAAGCTAATAATTAAAATGTTATTTATCAAAATGCTGACAGCAAACCTCTTTATTATTCTGTGTCAACTATTTGAGGACCAGTAGGAATAAGGATAGCATGATTATATTTGTTATATGTCTGCTTTGGAGAGGTTTGTGAAGAAACACTTCTTTATTATATATTGAGTTTATAAATGTAATAAAAACTAAATAGTTCAGAATTTTCATATAGGAAAGCTTACTTAGTTTGAATAATCATTTAAAATAAGTTTGTTAGACACTGAGTTTTAGAAGCACCAGTATACAATAACATTTTTATTTCTATGTTGTTATTGAAAGAAAAATATTTGCTTTTCTCAAAGATTTTGTCTCAGTCTAATAAAAGTACTTCAAGATTAAATGACTAAAGGTGAAAACCTGTTCAAATTATATTTGGAATATATGAAATATTAGATAATAATAACCACTTATTGGATCTAGACTGTATTCAGATGATGATTTGTCAACATATAACATTTCTTATCAGTTCTAAATTTGTATGTAAATAACTTCTACTCTTGTATTATCCAAAGACCATTATGAAGGACTAAAATTTGGACTCAGATGCAAAGTGTGGTTATATCTGGGAGGATGAAGATTTTTTTCTTTAGAGGAAGTGAGGAAAATATAATGCAAAAAGCATTCCCACTATGTATAAAATGACATTGTCAATCAGGGCACCATGTACAGAAGTAACATGTAGAGAACCGCTCTCGCTACTTCTGTGTTAAGTGGAGATGATGGCTGACATCTAATATATATGGAGTCATTGAATACACATAATACGTGTAAGCCATTTACTTGGGATGGAGCTGGGAATGAATACACTTTCCACCTGAACACTGGGTGAGGCTATGCGAAGAAGGGACTCACTAAGGAGAAGCTGTGGCTTGTCTTGTAGTGTCATGTCGTTGTCACATGTTGTGGACATATTCATGAATGAAGGTCAATTTATAACTGCAAATAATAGTTTAGGGAAAGAAACTGAGTGTTTTTAGTGTGAACATCTTTAGCTTTTTGAGATTTTTATTTCTATTATTTAACTTCTTGGATTAGGTTTTATGTACTAGTCCTGAGCCTGTGGATGAGCTGTGTTTTCTTCCCCGACTTGCTCTGTGTTAGCCTAGGATTTCAGGTAGTTCATCTTCTTTGAAAGTCCTTAAGAGCCACACCCTCCCCAAGACCAGTCTAGACAAAAAGTTGATTGTTCAATCTTATAAGCATATAAAATTCAACAATATGATTTTTTAATTTTAATTTTTTTTTGATATTTATTTTTTAGTTTTTGGCAGATACAACATCTTTGTTTGTATGTGGTGCTGAGGATCGAATCCGGGCCGCATGCATGCCAGGCAAGCTCGCTACCGCTTGAGCCACATCCCCAGCCCCAACAATATGATTTTAATGTACACAATTTTCACAGCAAGAGACATGCTCTACCTTTGGGAAAAGTTCTGAATAACTGGAACAGAACATTGTATTTAATAGATGTAATTTTAAAGGCAAGCTCAGGCAGGCCCTTTGAATCAATTCTCCATGGAATAGCCCCCTTCATACTCTCTTGTACAAGGCTATAATTTCAGGAGGAGAAAGAAAATGGGAAGTGGAGGAGAGAGGATGTATGATATTTTCTTTCCAGTTGAACAGTGTTTAGAAAAGGACAGTGCCCGAGTGCCACACCAGATGCTCTGGCACTGTGAGAAACAGCAGCATGAAGTTAACTGCAAAAACATGGCAGCTGAACAAATGCTCCCTGGATGAAGAAGGGCAGATGGTAATGTCAATAAAGTCCCTCAGGATGGTTGCCTCCCTAACCCAAAGAAACTCTGGGTCAGAAGCTTCAGTATAATGAACAGGTAGTAATCTTAGACTTGGTGCTTCTCTAAAGAATATTTTAGGGAGATTCCCTCTTCCTAACTATGTCATAAAGTCAGGCATTCAACCAAATTCTTAGAAGTGGTAAACAGAATAAAATACATTGAAAACACATTTTTATTTCTCTAAGCATGACCTCAAGGGTGTTTAAGTTGTGAAATTGAGGGAAATGGTAGCAAACCATACTAATTAAAATCTATGTATCAAGAGCTTTGTGTGCGATATTGCACTAGGTGAGTTGAATGAGATTGGTTGGTTCTCTGCCTTGCAGGTATTTGTAACTCAACACAGAAAACCCCAGGATAAGTAGGCACTAAGGACACGTGTTTCTACACGGCAGAAGAAATGGCACCATCTGGAGTGAGATCAGAGGTGCATCCTGCTTGCTGCCTGGGTCTCATAGGGCACTGAGTGTAGCCCTGTGGAAAGCTCTGGTTGACCTGCTAGAGGGCAGACTTCAGGCTAGAGAATTACTTACCTCAACCTACCCCTTTCCCTGCTTTATGCTATTTTCTGTGTGTCTCTACAGAGACTTTCTGATTCTATTTTTATATTTCAATGAGTTTTGTCACTAAGGATTTAGAATTTTTGCTTTTCTGATTTCAAGGTTTATAGTTAATTTTATATTTATTTTTTATTTAACTCTGTTACCTACTTGCAGTTTAGGAGGACTCTGTTTAAGAACTCTTAATGCTAAAAATTATATTTGTATTTCATATGTGGTAGTTAAGCACACATTCCTTGAACTCAAATAGGTCTGTTTTAATCTTGGTTCTACTAATTACTAGCTGTGTGACGTGGGGCAAATTTTCATACTTCTCTGTGTTTCATTGGAATATTAATAGTATTGGAAGAGACTTAATTAATACAGTTAAGGGCTTAGAACAATGCTTGGAATATTGAACACCAGTTGAAAAGGAGCCATTCCTCATAAATGCTTTATTCTATTATACTGACCAGTAATATCCCCACTAAGTGTTCAGTTTTGGAAAATTAGGTTTACACTTTTTTCTTTACATGATAGAATTTTATTTGCCTCTGCTAATAATTATGTGTGATAAATGATTATATAAATAAACAAATCTATCTACAATTTCTAGCCCAGTAAGGCTTTCCTTAGGTACAATGTTTAGAACTATATTTAATACTTGAGTTATATGCACATTATATTTTTTAATAGGATAGAACACCGTCTCCTCTCCTATTAAAAATATTCCTTTTGATGAGGTCTAGTATTTTTATATGCAACATCTCATTAGTTAATATCTTCACTGATGGTTCTATAATGTGTTAAATCTTTTCCACACTGTATTACAGAGCCCATTATCATAAATGCATATTACATACTATATGTATACTTAATTTTCTCCTACATATCTTTTCTTGCCTTTGAAGTACTTTTCCTCCCATCTACAAAGCCTTCACAAATTACACTGATTTCATATACTCAAATACATATATTTTTAGCTATAAAATTTTAATTTCTTTGAAAAATTTCAGTTCACTTACGAAAACATTGAGTAAAACCAGCCCAAGCACCAGACCCAAAGAAATGATCAAACTTTTTTTGCTTCCTTTATTATTTCACCTTCCTTTAACTTTAGCTTCCTATTATGAAAATTACTTGGTATTAGATTTTTATAAAATTGTTTTTGCTTTCTCTGAAACTGTTGGTTAGATACACTTTCCTTGAATGAAATTTCTTCCTGAAGGTTTTGCCTGGCCTTGTTCCCAGGGGTGCTGTTCCTGCCCATTTGACAGCTTGTTGGGAATGAAAGTGAGATCCACAGCTCTTCGCATGGGAGCAACTACATCATTCACATCTGGGCATTTCTTTCACACAGAGGCTCTTATTAATGATAATTGCTCTATATTTTTTGAATAGATGTGAAAATCTGTCAGATTGGATATTTTATCGCAAAAGTGATGAAGACTGAAAAGTTGGAAAGTTGGAAGTAGAACTAGAAATTATCCAGGTTTCCCATGACATTTGACTGCCTAATCCCTCTACAGCTGTGCTTGGGATGAGAACCTGGACACTTGTACAGATAGTGCAGCCAATTTTGAGCCCCTTATGTTAAGTAGAATTCTGATTTCTGTAATATCCAAGATGCTTGCTTGGATTTTCCTTTTGTGCTTTGCTTCACCTCAAAGGACAGAGATGCTATTGAACTCTCACTTGAAATGTGAAGTTTAAAAAGTGATGAATTTCTTGCTGCCTTTTTAATAAGAGTGTTTAGCATTTAGTATTAATCAAAAGGCAACATATTTCATTTTCAGCATTTTTTTCCCTATTAAGTTTGCAAGTAGTATGAAGAAATAAGTAAAAGGACAGTTTAAACCCCACAGATTTGAAATCTGCTGTTTCCTAACTATGAAGTGGGGTGAGTTGCTGCATCAGTCAGAGCCTCAGTTGCCTCACTGGAAAAATGTCAACTTAAAAATGTCCAATTTTCTATGAATTGGGAAATGGTGTTCTTCTGGGTTCTCATCTATAATGGTCACAGACACTATCTAATTTAGTTTAGACTGAAGTGACTTTGCAGAAATAGTTTGTTTGAAGGAGTGAATCATTTACTGAATCAGAAAAAAAAGTGTTCCAACTTTTCAAATAAGCTCCAAATGAAGCTCACTTAAGAAGTGCTGGTAAACCAGACAACCCCAAAAGAGACTAGTTTGGGCAGGTATCTCAATCATATGTGGAACAGATTTGGGACTAGAAGCATAGTTAATCATCCATGGTTTAGATTTAAGGTGTTCCCCAAAAGCTATATAGACAGTATGGATTTGGTGAATCTGGTGGTTTTTAACATCTCTGAATTTCCTTTATTTTCTGTTGTTTCTTTTCTTTTTGTTTTATTTGTTCCTTTTAGGTATTCATGATAGTAGAGTATATTTTGACATACATACATGGAGTATAACTTATTCTAGGTAGGATCTCGTTCTTGTGGTTTACATGATGTGGATTGTCACTGGTCATGTATTCATATGGGAACATAGGAAAGTTATGTCTGATTCATTCTATGTCTTTCCTATTTCCATCCCCCTTCCTTTCCTTCATTTCCCTTTGTCTAATCAATTAACTTCTATTATTTCCTCTCC